TCCCAGTGTGCTGTTTAAAGACTTCTTTAAATTCTTGTGTTTTTCTTTCAACTTCAAACTTTATACCCTCTTTTTTAATAACACCCTGATACTCATTGTTCAGTTGAAACACAAAAAAATTTGCAAAAGTGAGTACCACAATTGTCCTCTTCCACATTTCTGGATCCATTAGTCGACCAAGAGATGACAGCATCTTCTTTGCATTGTCAGCATCAAGGCGATTATCCATCTTTATTGCTATAAGGATAAGATCGTATCCTTTCCTTGGTGTATTCTCGGCAATATTCTTCAATATTTTCTTTTCTGGAATACCTGTTTCACCAAAACCAGCAGTATCGTATATCTTGATTTTTATACCATCATGCTCTCCTCTATGGCACACAATTTTTTCCTGACAAGCCTTTGCTCCAGCCTGAGACTGTGCCACAATATCTCCCATCATTGCATTGATAAGACTTGATTTTCCTACACCAGTGAGCCCTATAACAAGGATTTTCACACTGTATTTCCTTTTTCTGAGCTGCTCTGACTTTATTTCAACTTCATTTTTATCTACACTGTGTGTAGCTTCAGCTTCATCTGTAATAGCATCATCTTCTCCTGTAATATTCTCATTTGGCGAGGGAAAAAGTTCAACAGAGCCCACTGATGCTTCTGCCATATTAATACCGCTACCAGTGCAAGAAATATGCCTGTTTAGCACTATAAGGGACAGTTCAGCATGTAATAACTATGCCCATAGTTACCATCCAGAGTGAGAATTGCTTGCGTGGGAAGACTATTACGGTTGTAAGGCGTGGTTTACAATGAAATTAATTCCGGCCGCCATTTTGGTTGGCAACTTCGGGCAACTTTCAATGGAGAGCAAACGGGACGACATAAAAACAAACCTGTATTAAGAATTCTGGAGCGAATTTGACCAAATCTTTCACAGGATAAGCTTAAAGGTAGCTATTCTTTCTTATAACAAGCACTTTTTAGCTATTGATAGAGCTACAGCAGGTAAGTGAGGCATTTTCTTCGTGCCTCCATTGACTTCCTTGACCGAGGGGTCCGCAACGGCCTCAAAAAGTGTACGGGATTAAAAATCCACTCAGATTTTGGCTGGATTATAGAGCTGTTGCACGGAAGTAATCAACGGGAGGGTGTGGCTAAAATTGAGCTAAATTGTCCGCCATGTTGGGTGGCAAGAAGGCCAAGAATGAATGGGGGAATGGAGAAAAAAATTAAATAAATTCTGCAGTTGACATTCCAGGCTAATGCAAGGTAGGAGATGAAGATATTGAGTAAAGAAGTCTCTGTAATATTCTGCAGCGAAGTATGATACCTCTTTGATGAAAAATCGCAGTTTGTTTCCATTTCTCCATTCATTGCGTGTACATTCTTGCCACTCAAGATGGCTGACAGGAAGCTCCGCCTACCCCGTTGATTACATCCGTGCAACAGCTCTATTGGATTTTTGGTGGATTATTGGATTTTTCTGTGGATTGTATTAATAGTTATTGCACTTAACAACCAGCAGCCACCATGTTATTAACATCAAGTAACCATTATCAATTTTAATTAACTATTACCAATAGTTAACAAACCATTATTAATAAACTATTTATGTTAATTAACTATTAATTGGTTTATCTAACTATTAATAATAGTTAATAAACCATATTCAGTATATTTCCGGATATTGTTACTGGATATTCTTGGATTATTGCTTGGATTTGTAGATTATCTGTGGATTATCACTTGGATTTTCTTGATTATTGGTGGATTTCTGTAGATTATTAGATTACTGCTGGATTATTGGATTTTCTACTGGATTTTTTGGATTTTCTGGGAAGGTGTACGGGATTATTGCCTCGTTGGCGGACTCCTGTCCTTGACAAACTTGCCAACCAAAATGGCAGCCAATTATGGCACGTTGGGCGGATACCATATATAAAATTAATGAAATTCATAGCTTTTGCAATTCTCACTCTGGGTGGTCTATTGCTAGTGAAATTCTGAGAAAAAACATGCAATAGCAATAACAATAAACAATGCCATAATTATGGTCGAATAAGCTATCAATTCTTTATTTACAGAAAAAAAACAAACTAAGTAAATAGTCTGAAATACCTTGTGAAGTAATATTTTCAATAGATTTGACAAAGCCTATAGATGGTGTTCTTGCTTTTGTCATATTGAGGAAGTATGGCTTGTGTGGTTTGACAATAGTAAAGTCATGCAAGATTATCTTATCTTTTGTACTACACAACTCGGCCTACACATGTGATAATTAATATTCTGTTCTACTCATCAGTTCACTTTCCATGTACTTATATGTTTTCGTGACACATAAGATTAATAACGTCAAAGAAAAAGGTGAAATTAGAAGAGTTAAATCCTTATTAAAATGAAAAGATGAAATTAATAAAGTGATCCGGCTAGCATTTTACAAGTTTCTTGACTTAGTTATAAAATATGATTGCAATAATAATAACATCAGCTGTTTATGAATCATATAAGTGCCGATATCATTGCAGAACTGACCACTCAAAGGTCACTGGTAGGAGTGATCAGTAGTGAAAGGGTGCAAGGTACTTTACTCTACAATTTAAAATACATACAAAAAGCAGCTGGGTTTTTTTACAGAAATTTACAGATACAAATACAATGTAGGCAATGTGAAAATTATAGTCAACATAATAATAAGGTTCAGTCAAGATTAAATAATGCAGACATTTCTGCAAGCAAGTTTAGATCAACAGGCTTCAGACCATCTTGCAGATTACAATCATCATTTCTTACTTCTTCTCGCTTCTTACTGCTTTGCTCCAGGCCGTTGTGAGTATGATTTAATGGTATTTCTTTATCCTGCTCAGGGACACCTTGATCATGGCATTCAGGCCCAGCACTTTCTTCCACACCATTTTGAATTGGACGTTCACCATGCTGCTCTGTAGAATCTCTTTCACTGTCACTGGTGATAGGAAAAATATTTCGTACCATGACACGAAGATCAACAAATAAACGTTGAAACCTTATACGTTTTAAGAAAGGCTGTACCTCTGTCCTACATCGAAGTATGCTATGATCCCAAAGAGTAACGAGCCAGTCATCATCTGTTGGTAACTCTCGCTCCATCAAGCTTCCTGCCAATACAAATGGAATTTCATTAACTAATCCCCAATCTTTCCCAGTGTGCTCTTGAAAGACTTCCTTATATTCCTCTTCCTTTCTTTCCACTTGAAACTTCGTAAGCTTTTCCTGGTCCTTCTTGCCCAGATACCCATTTTTCAGTTGAACGACAAGAAAATTAGCAAAAGTAAGTACCACAATCGACCTCTTCCACATTTCTGGATCCATTAGCCGACCAAGAGATGACAGCATCTTTTTTGCATTGTCAGCAAGACGACTATCCATCCTTATTGCTATAAGGATGAGATCATATCCTTTCCTTGGTGTATTCTCGGCAATATTCTTCAATATTTTTCTTTCTGACATATCACTTTCACCAAACCCAGCAGTATCGTATATTTTGATTCTTATGCCCTCATGTTCTCCTTTATGGCACTCAATTCCACTTGAGCAAGCCCTTGCTCCAGCCTGAGATACTGCAACAATATCTCCCATCATTGCATTGACCAGGGTTGATTTTCCAGCACCAGTCAGCCCCAAGACAAGGATATTTACACTGTTCTCTCTTTCTTTGAGCCTTTTTGACTGACTTACAACTTCATCTTTATTGATACTGGACTGTCTTCTAACCATATTTTCACCAGCATTGAGTGCAGCTTCATCTTCTTCAGTAAAATTCTCATTTGGTGAGATGATATTTTCAATAGAGCCTACGGATGGTGTTCCTGCCTTTGCCATATTGAATTAAGAAGACAAAAGAAGAAAGAAGTATACTTTGTGTGGTTTGAATATAGACTGTATACTACTGTGTCTGTGGTTTGATAATAATTATAAGGGGAAGGCCAAACTATTAATAACTGCTCGTATTACTATCTTTAACACAAATCTCCAAAATATAAAGATGATTAATATTTTGCTCTTATTTATTATCGACATGTTTATTGGCAACATGTTGCTTACAAGATCAAAGTAACCACAAATGTTGGCAGCAACATGTTGTCTAGTGTATGCCTGACTTAATATGAAAATGCTAAAATCAATAAACATGCAATAAGATAGTCCAATGAGAAGAAAGCATGCTGGCCTTCCCCTGCCAAAACTTTTCAAATAATGTTGGCAAAAAGAATGACATTTTTTAGCAAAGAACAGTTTTAAAAATGCAAAAGTTACAAATTTTCAACTACACTGCACATTTTAAGGTGTTTGCACAACACTCACTTAACTATAACCTATGTATAATTCCCTGTGATTTTTTAAGCTACTAATGAGTACCATACTGGTACAAATTAATATTCACAGTATTAAATTTTTATGATTTTGGGGAAATGTTACATTTGCTGTGTTTATAATTTCACACTTTCTTTTTAAAAACCATTAAAATGTAGTCATACATGTATAAAAAAATTTCATGGGGTTAAATTTCATAAATTAGTGCTGACAGCAAAAAATAGTGAAATTAATCCCTCACAAAATTTTGTACCCATACGGTAGCATGGAGCTTGCTAGTATTGCACAATACATTGTTTTGAACAGATTGTCTCAACATAACAAAAGCCATTTTTAGCATAGCACATAAGCACAATAATGCATAACTATACATGCAGTCATTACTTCACAGTTCTAGTTTAAAGCAGCTCTTTGCTTGGAACGACTCGCACTTTATCCCCAGGTTCGAAGTGTAATCCCTCCAAATTGATGTATAACCTATACATGTATACATAACCCATCCTTTATGAGGTTTTTGTAATTTCCCTTATCCTGGTTAGCTATAGATTTGCTATTATAACTATACCAAACAGCAATGCTTACCACAAACAATAAAAATGAAAGTATATCACCCTATGATTTTATCAGTTATTTCATATAACACTTAAGAGTTAATATTTTTGCTAATACTCTTTACTACAGAAAAAGTTAAAACTATCTAAAAAAAATGCTGTCAAACCAAAATTATTAAAGCTTAATAAATGTTTCAGTTAATGTTCAGGTAATAATGCAGCATTCACTTCTTGAACTAAATCCATCTCAACATGCTGTAGGCTACCATCATCAAAGCTGCCACCTTCCTCCTCACTGCTACTAGACTCTTCATCTTCCCCTTCAGAATTGCTACCTTCTTCTAAACCATCAGGCCCATTGAAATCAGCACTTTCCTCTTCAGTGGTAAAGAAGATGGATCTTAGTTTGAGTCGCAATTGATTTAACAAACGAAAGATACCTAAACGCTTTACGAAAGGTTTTGCTTTGGTCCTACATCGAAGTATGCTCTGCTCCCAAAGAGTAACGAGCCAGTCATCATCTGTTGGCAATTTTCGTTTAATTGCCTTTCCTGCTAATACAAATGGGACATCATCTTTTCCAGTGTGCTTTTGAAAGCGCTTTTGAAATTGTTCTTTCTGTACTTGTAATTCAATCTTCATTTGCTCTTCAGTATACTGCTGAGGATTATTTTCAAGTTGATCCAAAAGTGAATTAGCAAAAGTAAGTACCATGATTGTTCTTTCCCACTTATTCCCTCGATCCATATATTGCTTAAGAGATGATAGCATATCAGTGTTCAGGTCAAAACGATTATCCATCCTCAAAGCAATAAGTATAAGATCATATCCCTTCTTTCGTGCATTTTTAGAAGAAAAAATATCTTCCAATATTTGTTGATCAGAAAGACCTTCATCACCAAACCCAGGAGCATCATATACCTTGATTTTAATACCATCGTGCTCTCCTTTATAGTACTGCGTTTCCTTTTGAACAGGGTTTGCCCCAGCCTGAGATACTGCAACAATATTTCCCATCATTGAATTTATAAGACTTGATTTGCCTGTACCTGTCAGCCCCATGACAAGGATTTTTACATGGTGCTTCTTCCTTTTGAGCTTTGCTGACTTCTTTCCAAATTTATCATCTAATGGCACGTCAGCAACATTTTCTTGAGTAGGAATTTCACTTGGTGAGGTGATATCTTCAAGGGGGTCTACAAGTTGTGTTGCCATATTGAGAAGAATCAAGAGTGGTTAGAGAAGAAGGAAGTACTGTATGTAAGTTTATACAGTATGTGGAGGATGGTCAAATTATTCATAACTATGATCATAACAATAACTAATTTATACTAAAAATAGGATTCTTTGAGTGATCAACTATTCAACACTATCTTCACTACACAATTATCAAGTTCTACTATGATACTCTTCTGTTTAGTTCCCCAATTGAAAATGTTAGCCCATTTGCAATAAAATTGGGTTAAATACCAAAACTTAAAAAATATTATAGAAAGATCATTTTCAAATTGTAAATTTGTAGCCATTACACTGAATAATCCTCCTTAATTAAATGCATCATTATTATAAATGGCTTACTTTGTCCAGTCCAGTTGGTGTGAATATATTATGCTTCTCTTTTTCATCCTCTAGCAATACTTGTTGTCCTGGCAACCAAAGGACACACCTACTAATGAACTGCTGCAACCAATCAACAATGACACTCTCTAAAATAAAATTAATTTTAATTATTTATCAAGATATGTGTACCTGTTAAATCCTTATATGGTAAATAGCATTTAAATTGTGCCGTCAGGCGAAATGTCACTCCATTATGATTAACATAATCCTTTACATTTTTATTAACAGACAATTGTATAAGCCCCTTCTTTTCTGATACCCTGTAACCTTTAACTATACTACCACTATTAATGATCAACAGTATATTGTTCTCCTATAAAATCATGTGATAATCACGTGATTAACTGACACACCCACTTTATCAAAATCTTTAGGTAATTTTGATTGATCAAAATCAGTCCCTTCCTTTAGTTTGTAATACACTCCAACGAGGTCACAGCCAGCTGGATAGTGCGACGATATGAATTTTCTTCCTTCTTGCAGGTCCAAGAGGAGCTCACGTGATGAAGAGTGGGAGGGGCTACTGAAGTATCCGACTATCACTGTATCTTTCAGTTTCTTGCTGCTTGAGCTGCTCAAACCAACCAGAAATCCAGCATCATTACATTGATATTGCAAAAACTAATTAAACAAAAATAATTGATGCATTCACAATTAAAATAACTTGCTTTATCTGTATCAAAGACAATAGACATTGTACATTAACCGTATACTTGTCATTACTTGAAGGAATTCCGTATTTTCAAAGTTTCTAAAGTGGTTCCGTATACTAAAATTTACAAGTTCCAACGTCATGACCACGCCCTTGTGTGAATAATAAAATGGCTGACAACATAGTTCAAGCTGCAATAGAAAAGACACTGATTGACGCCTCTAAAGTGATCGAGGACCAATTGGACCAAGAGATAGACAGACTAGACAAGATAGACGAGGATGAGATGGAGAAACTGAGACAAAAGCGACTAATACAAGTACTAAAACTGATTTATAATTTAAACCCCACCCTCCTCTCTCTCCCCACATTAATTCACAGATGAAACAAGCTGCCACACAGAAGCAAGAATGGCTCTCAAAAGGTCACGGAAAGTACGAGGAGGTCACGGAAGAAAAGGAATTTTTTGACGTCTGTAAGAAAAGCTCGAAAGTCGTCTGTCACTTTTATCGTGAATCCACGATGCGTTGCAAGATTGTCGACAAGCACCTTTCGCTCCTTGCCCCCCGACATATTGAGACGAAATTTGTTAAACTGAGTGTTGACCGCGCCCCCTTCCTTTGCGAGAGACTTAAGATCAGAATCCTGCCAACGATAAGTGTCGTACTGAACAATGTAACTAAAGATTTCATTAAAGGCTTTGATGATTTAGGAGGCACTGACGACTTTACTACCGAGATGCTTGAGTGGAGACTGGGCGTCGCAGGGGCGGTCTCGTACTCTGGTAACTTATTGGAACCTCCCACGTCCTCTAAGGGAACTTCCTCTAAAAGTTTCATGACCAAACAAGGGAAGAGTAGTATACGTAGCGGCCATTTAAGCAGCGATGAAGATGATGACTAAGAAATCACTTACAATACATACACATATGTACATGTATGCACACGTAGAATCTATAGTCGAGATGTTATCTATTTTTTCATTAACTACACACAATATCTTTAATTTTTAACTAACCAAGTTTGTTTTATTATTGTTAAAAAATTTATTATCATGAAGCATGCCAAGTTAGCTAAAAAACATGTTGCTGCAGTTTTGATTAGAATCAGCTAAAAGTTCATGCAAAACATAAGTGCATTACAAATTAAGAATTCTCTCCTTGTAATTTTGAACAAAATAAACAACTTAAAAATTTGCTGACAAGAATCTGAGCACTATGCCTGTGTTTACATTCATTTAGTTAAAGCAATAAAGTTATATCCATCTGCTCTGAAGTCGGTTCAAAATAGCATTACATGTATTATTATTATTGATAATAATTGGCACAAGTTCTTTAACTGTTGATGCAACACCTAGAGCTGGCACAGACGAGTGTCACTTTGAATTGAAAACATCAAAAATGAATTTTAAACACAAAAGATATAATGTTTTAATAATAATAATAATAATAATAATAACAGTAACAAGAACATGACGACAACAACTAGAGCAATTGTTATTTTTAAAATTTCCGACGACAGTTTATATGCATGACAACAGTTACCAAAGCAAAAGCGACACATTTAAAAAGTAAGCAAGAGAAAAAACCAAACGAGTTTATGATAAATTCGACGAGTGAGTGAGAGAGTGAATAAGTCATGGTAATGTAATTTCTTTTTTGTTAAATAAGCACTTCGGTAGAGGTCTGTATGTTAAAATGAAAACGAGGAGTGATGTCATGAAGAGTCTCGCCGCCAGATCCACCGCTAGCCGGAGAACTAGCCGCAACAGGTTTTACCTCTCGTCTTCCTAATATGGGAGAGCGTTGGAGATCAAAAGAAGGCATCTTCTCATCAAGACCGGTCTTTTTCTTCTTTCTAAGATCCTTCTTGCTACCTCTAGAGTCCTGACTATTAATGGACGCTGTGCTCTTCCTCAGCTTCTTAGAAGAGGAGAAAGGAGAGGAGGAGGTACGAGAGAGAGAAGAGTGAGTCGTTGACTGACTTAAGCTCTCAATAGCAAGAGGAGCAAGCACGGGTAGAGACCCCGCCAGCTCCGAAACCATCAGAGTACCAACTTTGCCTAATTTAGGTGAATTAACACGATAAGGACTAGCAATAGGCCCAGGGCTTTCCGAATGAACACTGATACCGCTAGACATGTGGGCGTGGAGTGATAGCGAGGGTGTATTAGGAAAGGATATAAAAGGAGAGTCTACTTCTTCCACCCACTCAATACGGGCACAACCTTCCTCCGAGGAGGTGGAGTGATGCGGAGAGTGATTAGAAAGGGCGGAGTCAACGCTATTGTACATGTGGGGGTCATCAAGATGATGGTCGGCTGAGTCTTGAGTTTGACCGTTCTGCAGAGGAGACGTGACGCATTCACTCTCGCCCATGGCAGAGTCGTTGCTGGAGTGACGCCTATAACTCACTCCTAATCCTTCGCTCAGCATCTCTTCCAAGTCTTTCATGACATTGTCGAGGGAGCGTTCGGTTTCTTGATAGCTATGGCTACGTTGGAAGGCTTTAACGGAGAGCGTTGATGGGGTGGAAGCGATTGTTGCCGAGCGCTGAGGAGAGTCGAGTTCTTCTAGACCTATGCAACCATTTGACTGAGGAGAAGGAACGTCTTGAGGAGAGAGAGGGACATCAGGTTTACTGTCACTTTCATTGAACCTAAAAAAAAAGAGAAAATATACAAATAAATATAATAATAAATGTAAATATAAATTATTATTATTATTACGTATTAATGTGGAATATGGAGAGAGAGAGAGAGAGAAAGCTCTCTACAAGTTAAAGGTACAAGTAATCTTAGTCCATTACCAAAAAAATCACTTAGACAAATGTTACACATAAAATAATATTTTTAATGCACAAATGTCACGCATAAAATATTCCAACAATGACACGTCTATAGTACACGAACAGATTTACTCGCTAGATGAACAAGATTGAGTGGGCGAGAGTGCATAGCACAAACTTAAAATGCTTTTTAATTTCAGACGTCGAGAGGCAGCCAGTCTGCAAGACACTTCCAATTATTGTAACAAAATATCCCTAACCACTCATTCCCCATCTCTCTACATGCGTGTACGTATACAATGTAGCATTAGTGAGTGTATGTAAATTGATATATGTTAAACAAGGGACAGGTGGTCGTGGAGGAATTACAGACGAACAAGATGCATAGTGTACAACTAATGGGTCTAGTCTAAACATATGGTGTTTCTAATTAAAGAGCAGGAGGGACTAAGAGGTGGGTGGATTAAACAAGCAGTAATTATACACAAGAGACAGTGTCATTTAATAGAGTGTATGCTCATTGGGAGGGAGAGAGACAGAGAGGAAAAGGTGCAGACTGTATGTGCTATTATACACATACTTGCATGTATAGTACATTAGGGCATTATTTGGAAATTGGTCTATATTTTAAAATGGTCATAACTCAAAAATTTGAAGTCGGAATCAGCTCAAACTTGCTACATAGCATAAGGACATCAATATGTATCAGAAAATGTAATAAAAAATGGGGGTGATTTTGGAGCCATTTTTCGGAAAAAAGCATGGGCTATAGTACAGGGTATTTTTCAAAAATTGGCCGATTTTAAAAATGGCTATAACTTGAAAAATTTAAATCGGAAACAGCTCAAGCTTTCTATATAGCACAAGTACATCAATATGTATCAAAAAATGTAATAAAAATTTGGTGTAATTTTTTGGCCATTTTTCGGAAAAAAGCATGGGCTATAGTACAGGGATTTTTTCAGAAATTGGCCATTTTTTCAAAATGACCATAACTTGAAAGATTTAAGTCGGAATCAGCTCAAACTTTCTACACAGCATAAGC